TATTTTTTAATATATTTTCCCACTGTTAACATAGCCCTTTCCATTCCATGGAAGTGAAGTCTGCAATGTAGTCACAGAGAAGAATTTAAAGATACTCATATTGACATAACCTTCAGGAATCAGAGGTTCAGATAATTCATCAGAACGAGTTTCACACTTGTAACACCAGCGTCTGACATGCTAGCAAAACCCCATGTATTTCAGTATTAGTCTGGGCGCAGATACTGACTTCAGACCAATAACTAAAGTGTCAGACCAATAACTAAAGTGAAGCACGCGCTCTTTTTTTGTAAGAACGCTATTAATGTTTTTTCTCTTTGACATTCAAAACAATGGAAATATTTTACTTTGTGTTTCTATTTCAGGCCTATTCTGTCTGAGAAAAATGAGTTGCTTGTTCAGTTTTTGTCTGATTTAAGCTTAACAGCTGACGGTTTTATTGGCCATTATAAATTTAGACCAAAAAAGTTACCCACAACTACAGTTTCGCCTACTACCACAACAGTCCCGGCTACCTCAAGTAAGTTTTATTGACTTTATTTTATTTCTTAGAAAAATAAATTATTCCAGGAAAGGGCTATGGAAAAATGTCATAGGAAGTACGTTAAAAAAAAAAATAAATCACAGTTTAATGGTTTGTTAGTATTTCAAATGTTGAAAGCATTAATTAAAAGTAATATACTCAAAGGGATATCTTAATATACTCAAAGGAGAATCTGCTTAACATTATTAAAAGGAAATCTATCCAGGCGAGAGTCCAGTGTAACAGTAGCTCACTCCAGCTGAGAGAATTTTCCTGTCTCTTCTCAATTTTTGACAGTTAACTAGCAAATTCCATAGAAGAATGGATGAACAAAATTCTTGTGTATAAGAAGTTCTAAATATTTTAGGAAAGAGCTTTATTTAAAGGAACTCTTTCTTCTATACAAGTTAATATGTAAAAATGTGAGCGTATTTTTCTTCACATAGTAAGATCAAGCAAAATTGGTATGGAAGCCACTTGAGTCCTCTTCAGATTCTGTTGACATCCCGTCAACATGACACTCTCCTAGAATTATTTTAATTTTAAAAAAATAAGGGATTGGAACTTACAAAGAAATGTGTCACACTAAAAATAAATTTCCTTTTATATTTAAGACTAGACAGCATATATGAGAGATCAGAGGAGGAGTTCTCTGAAGGTATTGCCAAAAATACCTCATTACTGAGATACTGAAGGGATAAATTCTTACCATTTCTATAACCTGAATGTGAGAGATTTAAGACACAGTTATAGCAGAAAACCAAATTATTTATGATGTTTTTGCAACACATAACCTGATTTGTACTTAAAACATATAAAAAGTCAGGACAGCAGTGGCCTATCAGCAGGA